ACAGAAGTGAGTCATTTAGTTGGCCATAGGCTTTTGTCTGGCACATTCCAGAATTACTTTCTAGGTATTAGGGGTAGATTTTTTTGTCATAGTGATTTGTATAATAAGCATACAATAAGTGTTTATTTGTAGTATAATAGTTAAGGAAAATAAACTCTTCCTTTGTTTATTATTCATCCTACTTCTTTTGGATGCCTAAATTCCATTTAATATCTGGTTAAGATTAACAATATTACCTTAATATCATGGATTCATCAGTACCATTTCATATTAATAAATGCTTTAGATAAATTATATCATTTCTAAATTACATTTATTTCTAAAAGGATATTTTAAGAATAATTATTCGTGGCTGGGGATTTAGTTCAGCGGCATAAGCGCCTGCCTTGCAAGCAGGCAGTCGTGAGTTCGATCCCCGGTATCGATAAAAAGGAAAAAGCAAAAAAAAAAAAGAATAATTATTCTAATTGGCCTTATTATGAAAGAAGGAAAGGAAAGGAGAATACAAATACTCTTTTTTTTTTTTTTTTGAGAATACAAATATTCTTAGTTTGTGTACTTTGAGTAAAGTACAGTAAGGGCAATATTGTAGGACAATATTTTTCTCTACAATTTTAGGCTCAGGTCTTCTGTGTAAACTCCCCCCGCTTTTTTTTCTTTTTACAATTTAAACCCAGATATTAAAGAATATTTGACTACAAAATGTACAGCTAAGTGTGTTGAGATTCTTAAGTGGGCCAATATTAGCTATACCAAGATGATTTCCTATTTATAATATGGCCTGTATTAGTCTCCATATCATGAAATAGGGTTTATTGCCTCAAAGACTCCTCAGTACTATCCCTTGATGCCTCTTTAATTGATTGATAGGTTTGAAAAGATGCTCTGAAGTCTTTAGTTAAGAATGCAGAGTCCTAGTTGTTAAGACAAATTCATGACTGGTTCACTATAACAGGTTGTTTTAAACAAAACAAAATATAAACGTTTATATTTTGGGGCCATCAGTAATAGAATAGAATCCAGTTACAATGGTGTTCACCTCTAGTCCTATGTCCTTGGCAAGGTGAGGCAGGAGGATTGCAAGGCCTAAGAGTTTGAGGCTAACCTGAGCAACATAGCAAGATTTCATCTAAAAAACAAAAATAAAAAGAAGAAGAAGAAAAGAAAGTTACAAAGGAAGAAGTTCCTACTAGACAAGAGGAGTCTTTTTAGGGTTCTTCCAAAAGAACAAAGCTATAGAACAGTTCTAATTAGACTAACTCACTAAGTTATGGCCTTTAAGTTTCATTATAACTACCTGATTATGTCTTGTCTTATAGTTAGAAGTGACAGGCAAACCATTATTAACTTCTGAGTTTGTATATTATGAAACCAACTGGTGATAAGCATTGTTTCCATTTGACATGAAAGAAGACAATTCTGTCATTATAATTTACCCTAGAGAATTTTCCTGTGATTATAACTGGATGGTTAACAATGGAAAATTCTAATGCGATCAAAATGTTGAATTCAAGAAGGATAATACTGGAGTGCATTTGCATGGATACTGAGGTGTCTGTGTTTACAGTAGGTCTACATGTTCTGTTTTTTGAGTGATGTTGTCATAGTGCTGTGTATAAATTGTGGTGTGTCAGGAATTGGGGATTGGATGGGACTCTAATATGGGTAGTATTTATGTTAAATTGTAAATGATGATGTAGTATGGAGTACTGTGATATTTAAAAGTGATCATTGCCTTTTCTGCTGTACAATATGACCCTTCTCATCTCTCTCATTCATTTTGCATGCCTCTGCTCACTTCTGTACAGCCACAGTTGAGGCTATTGAGGCTGAAAAAGGTACGATCAGAGTCCTTCTGCTGGGCAGAGATCTGTGGTGTGTGGGTGGGCATCAGAGAATGTCCTATGGGTGTGTCTTACTCCTAGCTTGCACAACCAAGATGAATCATACTCACTGACTCATCAGGTTTAATAGTCACATTCCTCTTCCTCTTTTTTTTTTTCAATCACAAAAATTGTTGTCCATAGTGACAGTGTTTTAAAAATGCATCCATAATTTAATGTTCCTGGTTTTTTAAAGGATAAATGGTATGCTATAACATTTTAATGTTGCCTGTTCTAATGGAAAATACTAAACTCTGCAGATAGAGATCTGCTCTGTATTTTGCTTCATTCTCTGCTTAAATTTTTTTCCTATGAGTGAAACCTCCTCTAGGTGAACATGTGAGTTTCTTTTTACTCGTTTTCAGTAATGTGCCTGAGAGTGCAGAAACTGTTACAATAATGATTTTTTCTGCACCTTAGGCTGTAGTTTACTGATATATTCATGCAAATTGTTATGGCTTGATATTACTCATTACTGAATGTTTTGTTGCCTCAGTGATGTGTTTGGTTCATATACACAGACTGAGTCTCAGGGATTTCACATATTAAATGACCAGATTATAGCTAGAATTATGGAAATCTTTAGTATGAACAGCTTAATAGTGGAGGAAGCATCATTCTGGATGAAATGAATGAATCCATTGCAGTTGATGAAGGATTGTATTTAGATTTGATTTTCCAGAGAATTTGTTGTAAGTGGCTAGTAAATTAAGGAAAACATCTAAAATATGAAGCTATAAATAGTTTTTGCTCTCAGTCAAATACAAATTTAACTTTTGGAGGCATTTCCCACCTTTTCTTTGCATATTGGTGCCCATGGGGTAATGACCTCCAAGCTGAGTCTAATCTACTAAATGTTAACTACCTCTTTCTGCTCCTGAGCTGTTGGTACAGATTTATATGTTGAGGATTAACCTTGTTTAGCCTCCTCACTTACTGTATTCTTGTTGCTACCTTACTGTGATAGTCACTGGTGATTTTAGAATCTAAGGTAGGAAATAACTTATACAGAGAAGTCAGACTTATATACTGAGACTATTGCCTGGAGGTTGATTTTGTGGGCAGAGAAGGATCATTTTAGTATTAAAGCTACCCTAGCAAGTATTTTTCATCTTTGAAGCTATCGTGTTTATATTTAAGTTTAAACATTTCACATTTTAAGGGGAAAATGGGAATGGGGATAGGATTCAGTTAAAGTAAGATTTAAGTGTTGTTCCTTACAGCTGTTTTTTCTCTCTTCTTAAAAAAATTATTAATTATTTTTTTTAATCTCAGAATTGTTTTACAATTACTGACTTATCAAATTTGCATTTTGTTAAGCAATACGAGGATTCTCTCCACCACATAGAATCTGCAGTTTTGAAGAGGCAAAGGGTTTGGATAGGATCAATGAGAGAATGCCACCTCGGAAAGATGCTGTACAGCAAGATGGTTTCAATTCTCTGAACACCGCACATGCCACTGAGAACCACGGGACTGGCAACCATAGTGCCCAGTGACCATCGACTTCCCAGGGACTCTCACAACTCGGGCCCCAAATGGACAAATCACCCGAGGAGCTGGAAGGGTTGGCCAAGCTGACTATAAATATTACAGTCCCTCTGAAGAAACCATTGTGCTTTTTGAGTCCTTAGCCCCCTTCCTGGATGGAGGCTTGAGGGCCCTGGGACATGTGCTATTTGATAAGATTGGGTCATCGCTGCCAAGGTGGAGAGTAGTGAGCAAGGGGCTTGGGGCAATTCCCGATGGAGGGCATCTACACCTCCATTTATGCTTGTGGTTCACACATTTACGTTTACAAATGAGATTTCTTTCTCCCTCAGTAGACTTAGATTTTTTTTTGAATCATAACTTCAAATGCAATCTTAAGCGTTAATGTGGACTTTTTTTTCAATGAAATGTCTTTAAAGAATGAATTAGCATGGTCTTAAAATATATTTCTGAGGTTACTAGCTGTATTTTGAATTGTAGGCAAAATACTGAGAAACCCAGTTGGCGTTTATACAAAATGCTGACCTCAGGTCTAGAGTTCTTAAATGTGGCTAATTCTGTAACATAGTCTTGATATTTTTCAATTATGAATACATAAACTATTTCTAGGAATACTCTTTACTTGAACAAAAATCCAAAAACTAATTTAGAATCTTTTTTGCCCAGATCTTTTGAGATTTATACCCCAGAGATTTAAAAAGAAAACCTCTAAATTTCAAAATTATGAAGAATTACAGAATTACTCACTTAAGATACTTTAAAAGAAGTTTGTATATTGTCAAAGTAAATTTTAATTCAAATCATGTCTGTAAAACTTGACGTATTTTGTGTATGCATGTTTTCATTTTGCAAATATTTAATATATAGACCTATGATGTACAGGTACAACATGTATAGGTTACCTAGATGTTATGAGACATTTTAGTTTATTGTGAGTACTCCAGTTACTTAAATAGCCACCAGGGTGATTTGCTGATGGCTTTCTATCCATTTTTATGTTTTAATGCAAAGGAAATTTTAAATGTTCTGAAAGTGTTTTTGATAAGCAATGCAGCCTAGAAGCAATGGTTCTGCTCAAACTTCAGATATTAGTGGAAGCATAAAAGTCAAGACTGCATGTTGAAATTTTTCATTTGATAGTTACAGAATTGCTTGGTTAAACTAAATGGAACCATGTGCTGATTTTACACGATTATTGATCTGTGTTGATTGCCACTGTAGTTTGGTATTTCCCTTTACTTTGGTGGCCTGCTTTCCTCATGCCCTGGAATACAACTCAGAGCTCCAGGCAGCGGAACCGTCTATTGTTTTGTTTGCCAGAAAGTGCACCCTGTATGGTCTCCTGTCTAAGTTGGAAATATTATGCATGTCCAGGACTATTCGAGTATTTTATAAACAATAGCACACAATAAATTCCATGCATGGGCCGCTGCTCTTATCTCTGTGTTGGGTTTTATTTGGAAGATGCAATCTGATTTGACCTTTTCATGCAAATTAAAAAATTCTGTTAATGGAGCTGGGATATCCTTCAGAGTTTATCTAATTCATGGTTCGTGGTAATTTGATGAATTAAATTGTTGTCTTCATCAAATTTTTTCCCCCTTAAACTTCTGTTATGTTAATTCTATGTGACCATTAGTAACTGAGCATTACAGAATTTTGGATGCTTACGGTAATTCTCCTAAATATATTTAAAATCTCTATTTTCATTTACTTTTAATTGAAAGAAAATGTTCTTGCTTGAAGTTTTGTTATAGTGGTATTGGGAAATTATTGGATGTTTTAACAACAGCAAAAAGTGATTATTAATGATAATAGATTTTCTTGCCCTCATACTCCTAGTTTTTTATAATCAAAATAAGTACAGGATTTTGCCAATTGAGGAAAATTAGGATATTGGTCACATTGTAAAATAATTTAATTATGGCTGTTTTAAAAATTTTTATTAATATATTTGTAATGCAGTCATCATGGAAAATTGGTACATATACATATCATATCATGATCTTTCCTTTTCTCCTCCCTTTCCTTCCATCTCCTCTCATACCCAGATCCCCTTCCCATCTCCACAACATCTGTCTTGTCTTTTACTTTGCTCTTTAAATTTTAATATGTTGGGTTTCTCATATATAACATGAACAATAATTATAATAATAAACATTGTAAAATTAAATTTCCATCAAAATATATATAATTCCAGTTTTAAAAAAAACAGAACTTCTCAAATTATTATAGGTTTATTTGATACAATATTAACTTGTGAATCACCTTCTGAACTGCCTCGAAAGTTATTATGCACTGCATACCTTAAAGATGTTTGTTTTTAAATGTTGATGTTTTGGGATAGCTATGCATCTCTAAAGTAGGAATTTGACTAGTATGTTAGTTGCCAGGAACTTCTTTAGCCCTTAGGTTCATCGCTATGATTATGTAATATTTGTGGAAAGTCACCGGTAAGCATAAAACATCACTAGCAAACTAGAAAATTCTAGGTTGATGATAAAAATTAGTAGGAAACAACTCAAAAGAAGCAGTATAAAATCAGATACAATGGCACACTTCTGTAATCCCAGCATTTGGAAGGGTGAGGCAGGATTGCAGAGTTCGAGGCCAGCCTCAGCTCTGTAGTGGATTCAGGGCCTATGGGGAAAAAAAAGATAGTATACACAAAAGGAGATACAATGTCACAGCCTTACAGACCACTTCCTACTTGTTGAATAGAAACCTCTTTCAAGTCTTCCTTAGCTTTCCAACAAACCATTTGTTAAGTATTTAGATATTTTAATGTAATTCATGATGAATGTAAATTGTGAAAATGTAGATCTTTTTAAATTGTAGTGATGAAAAATATATTCAACATAAAAATTTTTCTGTCATTCTCTTCAAGATAATGTTTGAATTACCAGTCAATCTCTTGATTTCCTGTACCTTCTGTGGTTCAGATATTAGCAACACAACTGATAATCTCTTTGGAGTTCAGAGTCAAATTTTAAAACCTGTTAAGTTTGATATTGTCTTGAAAGTTTTGCTTGGAATGAATCATCCCTATTTTATTCAGGGTTTTTTGCCTATTGTGACTGATTTTTCTTTGTTCACAGCTATTCTGTATAATATTGTGTGATGTTTCATTGATGCTTTTTTTAATACCAGGGATCAAACTCATGACCTTGCACTTATCAGGCAAGTGCTTGAGCCACTGAGCTAAATCCTCAGCCCCTGTTTCATTGATTCTTTAACATGATCCTTCCATCTTCCCTTTCCTATAGTTTCCTATAGTTTCTACACTTCAGGGTTCCAGTGAGTTCTTTTCTTTGCCTCAGAACTATGTGAATTTAGCAGAGCATGGTAGCACATGACTGTGTGTTTATCCAGGATCACAAGTTGAGGCCCAGCCTGGGCAGATTAATCTCTTAGTGAGGTGTAATTCAAAATTTTAAAAAGGATTGGGGTTGTAGTTTGGGACAAAGGCCCTAGGTTCTGTTTTCAGTACCAAAAAAAAAAAAAAAAAAAAAAAATCCGGCACCTATAGATTTAATTTGCGAGATTCCAGGACCTTGTTTTAAGAGGTTCTGTTCCCTGTTTTGATGTTGTTCACAGAGACAGGTAAGTGATAGATGGGATCAAATATAGCCAGTGATAGATGGGATCAAATATAGGTGCTGCAGTCATGGGACCACCGCTCTAACAACTTGTGATCGATTGTACAGCTCAATAGCTTTGAGATAAGGAGCCATGAATATGCTAGATGAGCAACCATAATAGAAGAAATAAGGGGATGATTGAATAGATTCTTTCCCATTTTCCATTCCTAGAAATATTTTACACTTTTAGTTTTAAATACAGTGTTGGGTTTATATTCCAGAAACATTCCTCTTTTAAAATGGGTGAAATGCAAGTGATAGCACTCATTTAAAGAACACCTTACTTCTCTTTCAGGAGATGTGAATCTTACAAATTAATTTTGTTTGTTTCCCCTGAAATTGGTTACTATTCAGTATCCATTTCTCTTCTGTTTTTGTTTTTTTTTTTTTTTTGGGTGTGTGTGTGTGTGTGTGTGTGTGTGTGTCTTTTTTGAGACGGGGTCTTGCTATGCAGTTCAGGCTGGCCATGAGCTCACTTTGTAGCCCAGGCTGGTCTCGAATTTGCAATGATCCTCCTGCCTCAGCCTCCCGAGTGCTGAGATTATAGGCATGAGCCACCACGCCCAGCTTCTCTTCTGTTCGTGGATAATTAAATTTATACTTATACCTAGATTGGACTTTGTTGAGTTTGTTTGAGCAGTGTTATACTAAAAAAAAAAACCTTTTGACTGTTGGGGAACTCTTCTGGGCCTCGATTGATGTCCAGGGACTTTGGGAATTCCAGTGCATCCAGGCAAATGCCTGCCCTTTCCAACCACATAGCTAGTAGCTTCTGAAGTAATCCCAAGGGTTTTGTTTGCTTTTTTTTTTTTCGAGGATGTAAATTGAGAACAGAAATACTGCCTTGAAAAAAGCCCAGGAAGCAGTAGGTTTCATCTCTCCTCAGCCTGCCAGGCTTTTGGTGAGTCTGGGAGTGTTGACAGAGTCTTGAGTCCTCTTGGCAGAGAATAAGAGTCAAAAAGAGAGAGGTCCTTGGGCAGTGGTCCAAGTCCCTACTTGCCTCATTAGGGAGAAGTCAACCTTGTGTGTCTGGTTGGCAGGGCACACTTAATCACGAAGTATCATTTCAGCGGTTTGCAAAGAAAAGTGATACGAAGGGACAGCTGCAAGTAAGCCACAACCTCAGTCTGAGGAAATCGAGCACCCACTTCACTTGGAGGGAAGAGCAAACGAAGGAAGGCTAGGGCTTAACAGGGTAAGTTACTTCCCCATCAACCTGTCTGCTTGCTTAGTTTATAATTGAGTAAAGTATTTATCACCCTAGGAAGTGTTAATCACTGATTAAGCAGCTGAATGTGGTCATAATAGCACGTTAATGTATTTCTTTTTCTTTCTTTCCCTACCCCTTTTGTGGATCCTCAGGGACCAGCTTTATTCCCCTTTCTCACCTCCTGAAAGAAGCTTGGTGTTTTCTAGTGAATTAGCTAATGTTGAGTGGGTTATGTTGGTCTAGATATAGACAATATCAATGACTTAGGTGAAAATTGAGGTTTTTCCGTTGATAGGAGAAAGATGGGAAACCTCTATCTAGGAATAGGTTTAATATTTTGGTTTGTAAATTGGAGGTGAAGAATGACAGTTTTAGGGGCTGGGGATTTAGCTCAGTGGCATAAGCGCCTGCCTTGCAAGCAGGCAGCCGTGAGTTCAATTCCCGGTACCAAGAAAAAGACAGAAAAAAAAAAAAAAAAAAAGAATGACAGTTTTTATAGATAATCTAGTTCTTACCTCTTCAGTCCATAGTATGTGTTTCTCGTATTGTAGGAATGTTGCATAGTGGTGCCTTGGTTCATAAACTTAATTCTTTCCATGATTCTGGTTGCAGCTAAGTATGGCTAGAAAAAAAGTGATTCTCTTTCTAGGTAAAATGAACTTCATTAAATTTTGAGACCTTATCATAATTCTTTTCAGCTTTGCCCTTGTGTTCCCTGTTTGTTTGGTTTTTGGTTTCTTTGTGTTTTGTTTTTTGCTTCTGTCAGTTTATACGCCTGGAACTGGGAAGTCACTCAGGCTGTGCAGGAAAGTTAGAACTAAGGAAGCTGTGTCTGGGCCTAAGGTACAGAGACATGGACAGGAGCCTGAAGAATGAGACATATTTATATGTAAAGACCCAAGCTCATTCCTACCCTTTTACCTTCTTGTTGGAAAGACAGCACATTTGTACTGTAGGTCAGCAATGTGTTCTAGACATGATGGAGACTATAACATTAGAGATTTCACAATTCTTTTTTCTGAATCCTGTGCTTTTTTTGACTTCTCGCAAGTTCTTTTAATCCCTGTATTGCCAAGTTAATCTTCCTTTGAGGAGAAGATTAACTTGGAAATTCAGTTAAGTATGCAGTACCTTTCTGGGTTTTGTTTTTTTTTTTTTTTTTTAGACAAGGTATCAGTACGTCAGGCTGACCCTGAACTCACTATGTAGCTCCGGCTGGCCTCAAATTCTCAGGAATTCTCTTGCCTTGGCTTCCCCTTTCTGGTCCTAATTGGCTCCACTGCAACAAAAACACTTCTAGTTTACCATTGGAAACATTTATTGTAGGTCCTGGGACTTAAGAAGCTACTTTCCCTATGTTTAAAAGAAAAAAATGGGCTGGGGATTTAGTTCAGCGGCATAAGCACCTGCCTTGCAAGTGTGCAGTCATGAATTCGATCCCCAGTACTGATAAAAAAAAAAAGAGAGAAGAAAAAAATGAAAAAGTCCCAATCTTTGAAGGCTTAAAAAGTACTGTCTTGACCTGGGCAGAGAATAAGGGGAGAGAGAGCAAATAAATAAATGATTTTTCTCTGACGGCAGTGATTCTAGAAATGCATTGAGATTTTATAGTGATTAAACAGAGCAGTTGGACTGGGGTTTTAACTCAGCAACAGAGTGCTTGCTTAGTGTGCATGAAATTCCTTTGTGACCCCTAGCACTCCTCCCCGCCAAAAAAAAAAAATGGAAGGCAGAATCAAGTCAGTAGTTAAAGTGGAGTTCTGAAGTATGAATAGCAATTTCATCTACCCTTCAGTAAAGGGACATAACCTTTAAACCCTAAAGCAGTCTATTGCCATTAGGTCCCATTTCTTTCACAGTAATGTAGATACTGTGATACACAGAAGAGCTTCATTCTATGGACCCTGCCATTCACTAATGAATTAAGAGGAAATAATGACAGGGTAGATAAAAACAGATGAGAAGAAAGTACAAAGGAAAATATTTTCCTCTATTGACCTCAGGACAAAGGTTTACTAGCTTACAAAAGCTGGGTTATTCTGGAACTGTTTGTTTTTGCTGCCTGTATACTCTTCAGCCACATGGTGATTCTTGAGTTTTTTCCCTGTAATAGATGTAGACCAGAAGGATCATATGTCAAACGTTTTGATCAAATGTCAGACAGTTTTTATAACAAAACATAATCCATGGTTTGAACTTTGTTGTATCATTCACAGTAAAACCATCCACTGGCAATGTTTTTATCCTCTTTATCATTTTCCTGGCCCAGGAGGTAATCTGGATAATTGTTTCAGCCTTTCAGTACCTACAAATACTTTTCTTTCTTCGTTTTTCTTTTTTTTTTTTTTGATGTAAAAAATTCACGTAACAAAATAAAATTAGTAATTAAATGACATTTAGTACACTCATAGTGTTGTGCAACCACCACCCCTGTTTAATTCCAAAACATTTTTATCACCCCAAAAGAGAATCCCAGATGTAATTCATTGATAGCATACTTGCCAAGCATACATGATGCCCTGGTTCAATCTCTAGCACTAACAACATACACACACACACACACACACACACACACACACACACACAAAGCACAGAGGAAAAAGAAGAACAAGAAGAAAAGAAAACCTTATACTTGTTAAGCAGTTTTTTCTAATTTTCCCTTTACACAGTTACTTGTAACTACCAACTGTGAAAGCAGTTTCTCAGTTGACCTATTCTTGATACTTCATATAAATGGTATCATATGACACGTAACTGCTTATGTCAGGCTTCTTTCACTTATATATAATGTTTCTGAGGTTTATCCAGCATGTCAGTATTGTTTTATGACTTTCATATATATGTATATATATTTTTCCCCCAATTTGTTTACTCATTCATCCACTGGTGAATCATTGAATTATTTCTATCTTTTTGAATAGTGCTGCTATGAACATTAATGTATAAGCATTTGTTTAGGTATCTTTTTTTTTTTTTTAATCAGTACCGGGGATCAAACTCATGACCATCTGCTTAGAAGGCAGGTGCTTATGCCGCTGAGCTAAATCCCCAACCCCTAGGTATCTGTTTTTAGGGATATATACCTAAGAATGAAACTGCTGGGTCATGTAGTAATTCTAGATCCAACTCTTTGAGGAACTGCTATACTGTTATCCATGGTGCTTGCACCATTTTACATTTCCACCAGCATTGCACAGGGTTTCCATTATATGCTCAATAGTTCATTTATTTGTTTATTTTTATAGTAGCCATCTTGGTGTGTGAAGTGATATTTCATTGTGGTTTTGATTTGCATTTCCCTAATTAATGAACATATTTTCTTGTGTATTGCCATTTGTACATATTCTTTGGAAAATATCTATTCAAATGCAGTATTTTGCCCACTTTTTAATTGGATTTTTTGTGTTACAATTTTTTATATATTCTGGATGTTAACTCTGTGTCAGACACATGATTTGAAAATATTTTCTTCCATTCTGTCATTTCACTTTGATAATGTCCTTTTATTTTTTTGTGGCACTAGAGATAGAAGCCAAGTCTTCATACATGCTTAGCACGTGCATTACTACTGAGCTGTACCTCCAAACCAGTAATATCCTCTGATGTGCACAAGTCTTTAGCTTCAGTGGAATAATTTACCTGTTTTTTTCTGGAGTTACCTGAACTTGTGGTGACATACATAAGAAATGTTTTCCAAATTCATGCCATGAAGTTTTCCCTGTTTTCTTCTGAGACTTATGTTCAGCTGGTTTTTTGATTTTTTTTTTAAATTGGTTGTGGGTTTGTTTTGTTTTGAGACAGTGTCTTGCTCTGTAGTTCAGACTAGCATTGAACTCACTGTGTAGCCCAGCGTGGTCTCAAACTTGCAGCAATCTTCCTGCCTCAGCCTCCCAAGTACTAGGATTATAGTTGTGTGCCACCACACCAGGCTATATATTTAGCTCTTATATTTAAAAAAACTTAACAGTCAAACTCAAATTATCCTATTTAATTAATTTCCAGAATGTTCCCATATTAATTTCTATGTTCATGCTTTTCTCTGTACTTAGAATTTGCTTTCCCCATCTTCAAATATTCAGAGTATTCCCATTTATCAAGATCAATTTCAAATGCTCTGTTTCATAAAGCCTTCCTATAGTTTATCCATTGAAGATACTTTTAATCTCTCATTAGAGCTTTCATTTCATTTTTCTTAGAGAACTTATATACTACCTAATAGTTTAATCTCCCTGTAAGACATTCAGATGAGATGTATGTATATTCTTCATATTTATTTCTATACATTATTTTGCATTTTTATTTTAATCTGTTTATTAATAAATGTATTTTGAATGAGTGAATGTTTTATTATTTTCCAGCCTGGTCACTTTTGTCTTTCCTTATAGAAGGCATGGGAAAAGACAAGATAGGAAAGTTGCCCATCACATTGTTTCAGCTAGTAGTGGATATATCCTTAATTGTACTTCAAAACCTAACTTCTTAGGAAATTTTCTTCATTCTTTTTCTGACTTCCTTGGACTACATAACTCTTAGCATTGTCATGTTCATTTTATATTGCCTTTTATTTCTATTTTTGGTTTGTTGCTTATAAATGCAATGGCAGTTCCTTAAATGAATATAAATACAGTAATACATGAATATAACCTTCTTATAAAAATTTACAGATGAAGAAGTCCCCTTTAATTAACCGAGTTTCTATTTCATTATCTTTTTCCCCTACTCAGAAGTAATCAGTATTACTAGGGGTTTTTTTTGTTGTTGTTGTTGTTTTGGTACTGGGGTTCGAACTCATGACGTTGTACTTGTCAGGCGGGTGATTTGCTGCTGCATTAAATCTTTGGCCCTATATTACTAGTTTTCTAACAATTTTGCCTGACACTTTTTTGGAGGGAACGTCTTTTTGAGATGGGGTCTCATTATGCAGTTCAAGCTGGCCTTGAGCTCACTTTTTAGCCCAGGCTGGTCTTAAATTTGTAACAATCCTCCTGTCTTAGTCCCCCGTGTTCTAGGATTACAGGCATGTACCACCACATCTGGCTCTGGCCAACTTTCTTTGCATTTACTTACATATATATTTATATATAGAACTTCATATGTAACACATGCAAATTAATATTTTCACATAATTCTCTCTCCATTTTTTACAACTGCCCATGGTGATCAGTAATCCATAAACACTAAATAAATCCTCCTGATAATTTGGGTCTGAAAGACTAGACTGAGAAGTCAGAGGTCAAACACCTGAAAATATATTATGTCCAACTTGGCAAATTCAACTTAATATGTTCTTCATATAGTTCCCAGGTACCATTGAATAGGCCATGGCTCCGCGTTTACGGCAAAGAAGGCGTAAGAAACATCCATCAGTGACTCCTATGGTTGTAACTCCACCCACAGTTGTGACTCCTATACCTGTGACCCTCACAAAACCTGACCCTAGCATTGATGCACTTGGCTTCTTCTCCTTGGATAATAATGTTCCTGGCCTATCCAAGCTGATTCTTCAAAAGCTGAACATGAAAAGCTATGAAGAATACAAGTGAGTGACTAGTTCTGTGGAAGAAAGACATTGTCTTTGGTAGAAGTGATTTCAGGAGATGGAGGGAGAAAGTAATGTGGGCATTAGGAGATAATTTTTAATGAGTGATTTTCCCATCCTGACTTCCCAATTTTATTACTAAAAGGACTTATTTACTTAAGAAAGAAATGATAGTGGGAGACACAAGATTATGTGAAAATGTATAGGAGGTAAAGTGAGGGACATGAGAGATTTTTGGAGATATTCTTTTCTCTATTGCCACTTTTTTCTTTTGTTTCTGCAGGATGGTGGTAGATGGTGGTACCCCTGTATCAGGCTTTGGATTTCGAAGTCCTCAAGAAATGTTCCAAAGATTGGAGGACACATTTCGATTCTGTGCTCACTGTAGAGCACTACCTAGTGGACTTTCAGACTCCAAGGTTCTCCGACACTGTAAAAGGTGATTTGTGACATGCTAATAGGGGAAACATTAAAAAAGGGCCATTTTTTAAGTCCTTATCCCAAAAGGAAATTCAAGAGTTTTCAGAATAATTTAAGCCTTATTCCTTATTTTGTGTAACTCTAGTCACAGAGAGATTAGAACATAGGTGTAATCCTACTTATTTTTGGTGTTGTGGGGAGATGAGACGGGAAGAAACACTCTTCCCTACTACTTTTTCTTGAGTATAGTAAGTACCCAACTTATGAATATTAAAGTTGTTACCTTTCACAGATACAAATGGACCTTGCTCTATGAGGATTCATAGATGTGAAAATATTGTAGAAGTAGTTCTTGTGATCACCTTACCAGTTTTTTGTTTGTTTTTTTGGGGTTTTGGGTTTTTTTGGAGACAGTGTCTCACTTTGTAGTGTAGGCTGGCCTTAAAATCACTGGGTAGCTCAGGGTGGCCTCAAACTTGCAGTGATCCTCTTGCCTTAGCCTCCCAAGTGCTGGGATTACAGGTGTACACCACTGTACCCAGCTAACCTTACCATTTTAAGGTACCTATAAAAGTAAAAATAGTTACTTTTTAAAAAGTAAAATTATTTACAGCCTTTTAATGTGTGTATTTGGTTGTGTACTGTATAAGACTCACTTTGTCAGACTCATAAATGAATCTTACAAAGGTTCTTTTGGAACAGAATTTGCTCATGAATTGGAAACTTACTGTATTCAACTGATAAGACCACATCTGTTCTGGAAAGGTTGGATTTGAGTCATAGTTATTTCTGTAACTCATTCTTTTAGGTGCAGAAATGTGTATTACTGTGATCCAGAGTGTCAGAGGTCAGACTGGCCAGTACACAGAAAGGTTTGTCAAGAACTTGGTCATGTGGCTGTGGATCGTCTCATGGAATGGCTCCTAGTCACAGGTGGAGTGGTGGTGTTGGGTAAAACTCTACCATAATGGCCATAGTTGGTTGTACTTGAAGGAAGATAACAAAGGCATATTGTTGGGTGGGAAAAATAACGAACTGGGAAGGGATGGGTCACTTGGGGTCACGTGTTGACAGAATGAACATGGAGAGATTATTGTTCATTAGTGAGCAGGAAACTTTGAAGCCAGGAAAGGATTAGGTCACTTCTTATTCCTTCTTTTTTACAGGTGATTTTGTCCTACCCTCAGGACCTTGGCCATGGCCGGCTGGTGTACAGGACTGGGATACTTGGTTTTCTATGAGAAGGTTACAGCTAGAGGCTACACTGGATGCTATGCTAGGTAGCCATGCCATGACCATCCTCTGGGCCAGTGTAGGAAGGCCAAGGCCAGACCCAGATGCTCTGCGGGGGTCTTTGAAGCGGCTGCTAACAGATATCCTGTCAAGGCCTTTGACACTGGGCCTAGGACTTCGGGCCCTGGGGATAAACACTGGGAAGCCTGGAGGAAGCACAGTACATGTGGTTGGTGCTTCTCATGTGGAGACATTTCTCACTGGTTCTGAGGACTATAATGAGCTTGGCTACATGTTTCCTGGACATCTTGGCCTCCGTGTGATCATGGTGGGTGTGGATGTGACTACTAGCTTTTTACAGAGCACTGTAACATCAACTCCAGAACCTGACACCGTTCACCTTAGTGGCCATAGGGGCCTGTATCATGACTTCTGGGAGGAACAGGTAGAGACTGGGCAGATGGCCCATCCAGATATGGTTGTGGCTTTCCATCCAGGTAAGAGCCATTGGTTCACAGGATTATTGGGTGGCTCCATGAAAATTTTCTATCCTGATTCTTGTATCTTTTTATCTTTGGAGCCCTATTTATTTGGGCTTGTTAAACACCATATGATAAAAGCCTTGGTTCATCATTTGCTACATGTAATATACCAGAGGTTAGAATTTTTCATTGAAGAGCTTGGAGTAGATGAGGAGGATGAAGATGGTGAGCAACATGAGGGTTGGGATAGACAAAGTGAAAGAAGTATCTTGCTTGTAGCTCAGCTCTCCTTTGGCTGTTCCTATTTCTGTTTTTGATCCATAGGTTTCCATGCCTCCCCGACCTTGATGGAAGCTTGGCTACCTACCTTGCTGCTACTTCGTGACTATAAGATCCCTACATTGCTTACTGTTTACAGGTTTTGACCTATTCCTATTTGTGATGCCTCCCTGATGCACTCTTTATATGGAGAGTTTGTTTTGCTTCCCCTTGCTTTTCTAACCTTCTTATGAAGATGTTCTTCCTTCCCCCATGTAGCCTTTTCATCCCATATGCTGCTTAATTATGGATTTAGTGAAACATTTGGGAGGAAAGAATAGTCCTTATCTAGTCTAGTTTTAGATAATTTTTGGAATTCTTAAGTACAGAAATGTCATGCTTTTGAGCAGCTGCTATTTTCTGTCTCTGTCTCTTTCTCACTCTCATTCTCACTATCATTAAAACAGTTTTTCTTATCTCTCTCCCATAGCTATCAGGAATTGACAGCCTCTTTGCAGATTCTGGTGGACCTGGATACCCATGTCATTGCCTATGGAGCTAATCCTTTCTCATCTCTCAAGCCTGAACAGGTCTATTCCAACCCCAACAAGCAGCCAGTATACTGCAGTGCCTACTATATCATGTTTCACGGGAGTTCCTGCCAGCTAGAAGAGAGGCCATTAGATGAGAAAGTAGATGGCGGGGTTTAAATGGCTGAGCCAGTTCCTAACTGGATTCCTAGAAAATGAGGAAGCTATAATATAGTTATTCTGCACATGCCAGGTTGTTACCAATGCTAAAACATACTTTGTTTAGAGTAAATTTCGTTTGCTGTCCAGATAAAAGAGTCTAAGCAGAATGAGAACACCAGTATGATGTAACTTATTTCTAAGTGGTTAGCCACAAGTAGTTTCTAAAGATAGGTTTCTAGACTTAGTAGGTGGCAAAAAGCCCTGGAAGTCTTTCCAGAGTCCGGAGTTTCTAATAGTTTCCTTTGTGAGTAAGTTACACTTTTTGACTAGAACCAGCTGGCACTGACGAGAAAAAAGAACCATCATATTCTTCTGAAAATAATTCTTCTTATCCTGAAATTCAGGGTAAAAACTGGAGAAGTTGATGACTTGCCAGTGGTCTGAGAATGGACAAGTCAGGGAAGTTTTGGGAGTGTGGGGAAGGTTGTAAATATTGGCACATTGCCACATTTCTGCTGCCCCCTCTCCTCGAGTAATGTCTCATTTTCCAATTGTCTTTTGGGGAATTCTGACCTCAGAGTGGACCTGATGGTATATTTGAGTTATCCCAGGTTTTATCAAACTTTACTTGAATTCATTGACATTATCTCCTGTTCTATATCACAATAAATTCAGTTTTGAGGGTGGATTTTTATTTGTTTTATTTATTTATTTATTTATTGTCTTTTTCATTTTTATCGGTACCAGGGATTGAACTCATGACTGCACGCTTGCAAGGCAGGTGCTTATGCCACTGAGCTAAATCCCCAGCCCCTATTTGTTTGTTTTAATGACAGAGGAGGGCTTACTACATTGCCCAGGCTGACCCTGAACTTCTGGCCTCAAGTGATCCACTTGCCTCAACCTGTCAAATAGCTGGGTCTGCAGATACCACACTGTGCCTAGCTACTTCAGAGCTTCTTAAATCACTACTTTTATATTATTTTTTGCACGTATTACTCACTTGCATACAATACTTTGAAATGGAAGATTAATAGTAGCTTTGTTTGGGCCCACCATTCTTCTGTATACTTGTCTAATGTTATCTTTCTTTTATCACATTCTCAGATTACTAGATGCTCATTTCTACAACCTTGCCATTTGTTACATACATGCGCATAAACAATCTGTCCCCCCAGTATACACATATGTACTCTTATGGGGGTAATTTTGAATTAATTTGTTTGTTTGATTTATTTATTTTAGGCAGGGTGTTGCTATGATGTTCAGGTTGGCCTTGAACTCACTATGTATGTAGGCCTCTCAAACTTCCAGTGGTCTTCCTGCCTCAAGTGTCCTGAATGCTAGGATCAAAGCATTCACCACCATGCCCCATTCATTTATTCATTTAAAACAATTAACACCTACTGTGTGAAAGGTATTTTATTACTACTTTTGGGAAATAGGTGAATGAGAGATGGTCCTTAATCTTAAATTAGGAAGAGAAATAATATGTCTACAGAGATACTTTTTTTTTTTTTTTTTTTGTCTTTTTCCTTTATCGGTACCAGGGATCGAACTCACGACTGCCTGCTTGCAAGGCAGGCGCTTATGCCGCTGAGCTAAATCCCCAGCCCCGATACTTTTATTGAAGAATATAGTAATAAGAAATGAGAGACTTGTACTGCTAAGGAAATAGAGGCTTTGCTGATATCAGCAAAGAGAGATCACTTCGGCAACTGGTAGTGAAAGTATTGTGAATTAAAATTTTATGAACAAAAAATAAATAAAATTGTATGAAACAAAGAGCAGGGTATTCCAGAGAAGAAATAGGAACAGAAGATTAGAGGCAGATAAATTTAGGGGAGGGAAGCCAGGCATGGTGGCTCATGCCTGTAATCCCAGCACTCGGAAGGCTGAGGCAGGAGGATTGTTGCGAGTTCGAGACCAGCCTGGGCTACAAAGTGAGCTCAAGGCCAGCCTGAACCGCATAGCGAGACCCCGTCTCAAAAAGACAAAAAAAAAAAAAAAAAAAAAAAAAGGTTAGGGGAGGGGGAAATTATAGAGTATATTGAAGAATTAGTATAAATGAAGTCTGGAAAGTAGTTTGGCATTATGTTATAGAAGAAACATATCTATTATAGATCTAAGTATAATCTTGGGGTGACCATCAGATATTTTTGTGCCCTAAGCTAAACTACTGTCTTTGTTTCCTCATTGGCAAAATAGGGATAATACCTATTACTCAAAGTTGCATTAAATATTAAATGAAAATGTTTGTAAAGTTGGAGGACTCGCATGTCTCACTTTCAGAATTTACACAAAGCAGTAGTAATCAAGCCAGGTGTGGCACATGCCTATAATCCCAAGACTCAGAAGGCTGAGGCAGGAGAATTGCCTAGAGCTTGAGGCCAACCTGGATTGAATAGTGAGTTCAAGGCCAGTCTGAAGTATATAGTGAGACCCTGTTTCAAAAAACAAAGATAAAACTATGTGGTGCTGGCATAAGAGAGATACATTCATCTATGAAATAGGATTGGGAGTTGTCTTAATCTGTTTGAACTACTATAATATCATTTTAAAGGTGGCTTATAAACAACTGAAATTTAACACAATTGGGGGCTGGGGATATAGCTCAGCGGCATAAGCACCTGCCTTGCAAGCAGGTGGTCGTGAGTTCAATCCCGGTACCAATAAAAATGAAAAAGACAAAAAAAAAATTTAACACAATTTCAGAAGATAGAAGTCAAAAATCAAAGAATTGGTCTATTTGGTATCTTTTTAAGGGCTCATTTTCTCATTTACAGAAGGCATCTACTTACTGCATCCTTATGTGGTGACCCTTATTTCTCTTTTATAAAAGAATTACTCCCATTGATGACCCCATCACTTCTGAAAGGCTTCACTTCCTATTACCATTGCATTTCAGTGCATTAATTTTAAGTGGGACGTATACATTCAGACTAATAAGAATTGAAAAAAAAAGTCCTTACATGTATGGCCTATTGATCTTTCACAGGGGTGCCAAAGCAATTCAATGAGAAAAAATTGACTTTTAAATAAATGGTGCTGTTGTGAAGGATATCAAAAGTAATTTAAGGGAAAAACAATAGACTTTGTGTGTGTGTGTGTGTGTGTGTGTGTGTGTACTGAGAATTGAACTCATGACCTTGCACTTGCCAGGCAGGCACTGTGCCAGGAATAGACTTCTGAACAAGATGCTGAGACAGTTGGCTATCTACATGCAAAAGGATAAAGTTGGACTTCAAACTCAGAACATAGGAAAATTTACTCAAATTGTTCAAAGACCTAAAAAGAAAATATAGTGATAAATCTTAATGAATTTGCATTGGGAAATTTTTTTTAGATATGGTACCAAAACTCAAATAGCCAAAATAATAAACTGCTTCTTTCAAAAACCTTGATATGCATGATGGTGCATACCTGTAATCCCAGCTACTGAGAAGGCTGAGGCAGGACAACTTAGCAAGACTCGGTCTCAAAATGAATACAGAAACTAGAAGTAAGGTGTGATGAAACATGCCTGTAATTCCAGCACTCTGGGAGGCTGAAGCTGCAAGAGCTTGATTTCATTCCCACTGTGGGTAACTCAGTGACTTAGTGAAGGCCCATCTAAAAAAATAAAAAAGGCAGGGGATTTAAACCCTAGTAACTGGAGTAGGAGGGAATATATATATATAAAACATATGCAAATACATCATTATATAAAGAACTAGTGACTGAGATTTTCAGTTTCCACAGGAGGTCCTAGAAACAATTCCCCACAGATACTGAATGACAGCTGTATTCAGAAATTATGTATTTGATGAGGACTTGCATCGGTGTATATAAACTACTTTTTCAATTTAAAAGAACAAAAAAAGACCAATTTTTAAATGCCCATATGTTCTAAATAGATGTTTCCCCAAAGAAGATAAATAATAAGCAAACAAAAAGATGCCAAACATCATTAGTCATTAGGAAATACAAGTAGAAGACAGCAATAGGTTATGACTCTGTGGTATAGCATATGATACAGGGTATCTATATTCACTTCCTAGCACCATCCCACACAGATACAATGAAATAACTGCTTTTGTCCTTTTACAGTGGCTATAATAAAGACTCATGAGTTTGATGAGGATGTGGGGAAATTTGGACCTTCATACACTACAGGTGATAATTGTGTAGCCATTTTGGCAATGGTCTGGCAGTTCCTTAGAAAGTTAGATTAAATTACCATGTAATTCCGTAACTCAAATCACAGGTATATACTTATGAGGAATAAAAATATATGCACATGAATATTCATAGCTTGTTACTCATAATAACCAAAAGGTGGAAGCAATCCAAATGCCAACTTATAAATGGATAATCCAAATGTAGTATATCCATACAGTGAAGTATTAGCTATAAAATTAATGAAATATGACTCTGGAGAACATGGCGGACAGACAACAGCAACTACTGAACGCTCTCTAAAGGCTCGGCTCAGAGGCCAGGAATGATGCGGACTAAGGAGATACGAACCAGTAGAGATATGCTCTGCTGACTCAGGAACAAACTGGGCTGAGAGAATCCAACGTGGAATACAGTCCTGGCGCTAAAATAGGAACAGAAAAATCTCGGTGTGGAGGCTCGACTCCGCGCCATTGGAAACTGCGGTTTGGATTTCCCGCCACGCGGCGGCCGGCTACCTCCACAGCGGCTCAGCAAGGAGAGACGCGACCGCCGAGCTCGGGAACGGAGTCGGAAACGCGACGGACAGGAAGGAAGGCTGACTGGAGGCGAGGTGAGCGAGGAACTGACTCCCTACCGCAGTCTGACTCCAGCGGAGGATTTTCTGGGCGCGTGCAGTACTGTAAGAGCAGGACGCGGCGGCAACTGCAGCCGCACGGTTCCCTCTCGGACGGGATTGGTGAAAGGTGCCTGGCCGGAGGGACGCTGCTCGCGGACCCCCTAGGCTGGCCTAGCCCAGATCCCAGAGCCTGACGGTGGCCCGGAGGAGCGACCGACTTCCGCGTAGGCTGCCTCCTCCGCAACTCCCTGGGGCGCAGCGGTGAGCTGGAACAACTAGCCAGCGCAATTCGATCAAGCTGTAGCTGACAGGCAGGGAAGCCGGGCCTCCTGTGTAAGATTACATTTCATAAGGAACAGAAAATATGGGGAAGGGAAGCAACAAAAAAGGCTCCTCGACCCCCAATCCTGAGAATCAGGCAATAGTGGACACTGTACCAATATACATTAAGCGCCATTTAGAGAGCCTCGTAGACCAATTCAGGAATGAAGTTATCAATGACCTGAAGCTAGAAGTATGCAGAATAGTTAGAGAAATGCTAAGCACCACCCAGGAAAAAGCAGATGGTGGAGTGGAAGAACAGAAAAAGAGGGGAGAATTGCTTGATGAAGAAAACAGAGAAAGCATTGAGTATGTGAAGCAGGTGCAAAGGGACTATCAAGAAATCAAGAAGTCTACCCAAGACTGGCATAACAGCTTGAAAGAAACTAAGGACAGACTATCTGAATTGGAGGGCAGACTTGAAACATGGGAGAATGAAATGAAAAACTTCTTAAAAATAACAAAGAAACACACAGCAATAATACAAAGACAAGAAGATGATAAGAGGAGCCATAACTTAAGGATTAAGAACATAAAAGAAGAAGTAGGGACGCAAACAAGTGAACTACAAAAGCTACTCACAGAAATAATCCAGGAGAATTTTCCTAATTTAGCAAAAGGTAAAGATACTCAAATGTATGAGGCATACAGGACCCCAGCTACCTACAACCCTAACAGAGAAACACCCAGACATATAATAATAAAAATTCCAGAAATTCAATACAAGAACAGAATATTAAAAGCTGTAAGAGACAAGAAACAGATCACTTACAAGGGAAGACCCATCAAAATTACAGCAGATTTCTCTTCACAAACCATCAAATCACGAAGAGCATGGGGAGAAATAATTCAAGCTTTGAAAGATAATAATCTCCAGCCAAGATTGAGATATCCTGCACAACTGTCCCTGGAAATTGATGGAAAAACGAGGTGCTTCCAAGATAAAGAGGAACTGGGGGAATTTGCAACCACCAATTCAACCCTACAGAAAGTATTGCAGGATATTCTAAAAAAAGAAAAATACAAAGAACCCAGAAATAGGGGCGGGGAGGCCACAACGAATAGAGCAGAGAACAAAACGAAGAAGACAAACTGACAGCTACTGACAGAAAAAGAGCTCAACAGAAATGAGACAGAGAAGATTGGATGATAGGAACAGCTTTTTTTGGAGAAAATGACATCTTAATAGGTAATGCTGATTTAGTACCATCTTGTTTTGAAGTCTCATCTAGCTTTTGTTCTTCTGTCTCCAATGGTCTAAACAGGTTGTAGCTTATTGGATTTTGTTATGTACGATAGTATAAGAAAAAACCTTTTAAAGACAAGGAGATTATACAGAGACCATTGTTCATTTTCTGTTAGTCGATTCTAAATACTCTATAATGCTGTCATTCTCTTAAATGGATTTACATTGTTTTGATATATTTAATGCTACAGTATATGAAGTTGTACTCAAGGACTTCAGGGAGGGAGTCAATATGGTAACCATTTTTGGGTCAGGATTAGCTGGTGGTGAAACACTATTCTGCTTAAATGGTTATGTTTTGATCTGCCCTGTTTCGCTGTTATGCCCTCTTTTTTTCTCAATCTCCACTCCATTATTTACTTTTTTATTTTTATCCATTTAATTACAGGGAAAAATATAGCAGGATATAATATAGTAACCCACTTTGACTTTCTGTTATCTCGATTTGAAGCCCTGTATTACTCTCACCATCTTGTTTTTGACTGAGGTTCCTATATTCTGTTTTGCTGGATAGTATCAGGTTCGAAAGTTTAGGCATCAGCTGAGAAGATAATGAGATTCATTATAACGCCCATTCTCGTTGACTTTTATCTACTTTTGAAGACCTACAATATCTCCAATGTTTTGGTTTTGTCGGTTTTATTCTTTACGGTTTTGTTCAATTGTATTACAACTAATGATATAGGCAATTCTATTAGAAATAGCGGGAGGCATTATGGTAACCATTGTTGATCACCTTGTATTATGTTTTTTATATTATCTATTATGTCCACCCTTTTGACTTGACCGATTCTGTTCTGTTATGTCACATTTGGTTTTACTCTCTTCCAAAAAAGCAACAAGAACTGTGGGAGCAATGAAACCCAAAATGTGTAATAGTCACTGTACAAAAGAGAGGAAAAGAAAGTGCTCTAAACTATATAACTGCATGTATATTTAAAAGTATAAGATAGAAAATGATACCACAGAGTTTTATTGGATCATTGAACAGAACTGTTTGCAGTATCATTGTTGGAATGTCCACTCTACAAGCTTTAATTTTGTGACTTGAACAATTATTTCTAAGATGGCAATATGTAATCCATTAACTAGTGATTTCCTACTGCGCATTTTTTTATTCTGTAAACCTGTATAACTTGTACCCCTTCACTGTTTTTTTTTTCTTTCTTTTCTTTTCTCCTTAAATAAAAATTAAAAAAAAAAAAAGAAATAAAATTAATGAAATACAAATCATGCTACAATATAAATGAAGCTTGGCAGCACTTAAGTGAAAGAAACTGGTCATGAAAGACCATTGTATTAGGAGGCCAGGGACATAGGTCAGTGGCATAGAACCTGCCTGGCAAGTATACTGTCCTGAGTTTGATTCCCAGTTCCCCCACCACCACCAAAAGAAATTTCCCTTGAAAGACCATTGTATGAGTGCGTACAAGTCTCAGGACAGTGGACAGGATGGGGGTATTAGCAGTGGCTAAAAGGTCTGAGATTTGTTTGTGGAGTGTATAACCTAAAATCATGAAGATGGGTATACAGTTCCTTGAATATATTAAAAGTACTGATTTGTATGCTTGGAGGGCCGGGGGTTTAGCTCAGCGGCATAAGCACCTGCCTGGCAAATGCAAGGTCATGAGTTTGATCCCTGTACCAAAAAAAAGTGGCATGAATTGTATGCTTTACATGGATACATAATGAATCTGCTACAATTTATTTTGGAATGAGAATACTTTCAGGTGCTTGACATTGTGACTAGGAGATAGTCTGTGCTTAATAGTAGCTATTAAATACTACCACTTTGAAGTTTGCTGAGAAACATTGATTAGATTGCCCATAGTATGTAAGATGGCTTGGTCCTGAAAGAAAACCAGTCAGAACATATTGTCATAGTTTAGACAGTTGTTAATGCAACGTTAGCTAGAGTGATGTCAGTGAGCATGGAAAGGAAGGAATTTCTAATACAACAAGCTAAATAAATAGTGATACTTTATTAAAATAAATTTATGGGATTTTGCTACTGCTTATGGTGCATATGGAATGATAACTGATTAGAAGACAGAAACTGCAACATAACAGCTGGTAGAATTTTCCAACTTAGTAGAAAGTGTTGATACCATAGTATGGTAGTAGTGAACCTATAGCACATGTGTTGGTCTTAAGACAAAACTTATTATCTATAAGTTTTTTCCTAAATTGAAACCTTAGTATCAGGTTTAATTGCAGTGTTGGCACTTTGCAATAAATAGGTTTCAAGTTGCAGTCTGAGCACTTTTCTCTAAAAAATTCACCATCACTGTTGTAGTGCATAAAAGTTGAAATACCTAACATCATGCTGAGGATTCTAAAATGACTTCTTCCCAGTTTAATAGAAGGTTGATATAAGCAAGGACAATAGAAGTATTTTCAAAGGTTAATATATGCCAAAAATAAATAAATAAAGTTTTAAAAGGGCCTGGGGATTTAGCTGAGCACAAGTACCTGCCTGGCAAGCATGAGATCGTGAGTTAGGTCCCCAGTACCAAAAAAGCAAAAAGCAAAAGTTAACATTGCCATATCTGGTGGAACACACCTGTAATCCCAGCATTTGGGAGGCTGAGGCAGGAGGATCCCCTTGAGTTCAAGACCATCCTAGACTACATAGTGAAAACACACACAAAAAGACCCCATGAAAGTTAATGTATGAAGCAAACTACTAGTGACCCAAAACTACTATTGAAAGCCCTTTAGAATACCAGTATAGAAAACAAGTTGCTAGTTAACAGATAAAATAGCTTGGGCTTGGTGGGTCAGTTATTGAACACTTCCTACTAACTTTAGAAATATTCCTGTTTTAGTGGACCTTATGTGTTATTGGAGAGACAAACAGTAAATACAATTCAGATGCTTTCAACTGCAATAAGAAAAGTGGGGTAATGAGTAAGTCTATACCACCCAGTAGAAATGGAGATGCTGAAGACAGATCCTAGAGTGTTCAGAAA